GGGGGGGGGGGGACAGTTTCCTCCCCCGTCCCCCTGCAGTGATTGGGATACAGCAGAGGTGACAGGAATGGGAAACCCTTGGCACACTGTCCAGTGCTGGGCAGGGCGCGCAGGGGCAGCCCTGGCCACCAGCCTTGCCCAGGCTTCCCAACAGGGCTCCACTGGGTCCAGTCCCCCTCCCTCCTCTCCCTCCCTCCGTCTCTCCCTCCCTGCCATCGCCAAGCGCTGGCTCCCGGCATGCTGCGCGCTGACAGCCTTATAAATAGTCGCCTTTGCCGCGGCCAGCAGGACCGGCAGGGCACGCACGCCGACGCCCACTGCACCCTCCCGCCGCCGCAGGTCAGTGCAGGACCTTCCGTGGGATGGGGGAGGGGCGCCTCCGCAGGCCGGGACCTGCCTCTGGAGGGTGTGTGGCGGGCCACCCTGGGGCTCTGTGTGTATCCATGGTCACGATCTGTGTGCCCTGCTTATCCTTGTTCCCCAGGCGCTGGGTCTTGTGTCACACTGTGTGTGCCTTTGTGTGTGTATGGAGGGGGGCAGCCTGTCCCAGCCCCCCAGACCCCTTTGTCCTGGTGTTCCTTGTCTCTGCCCTTGGCATGCTCCAGCTGGGGCCTAGGGGTGCTGCGGCTGGCCCCCCTGTCCCGGAGGACCTGCAGGGGCCTGTGTGCTAGGAAGAGCTCTGCGTGTCACTTCAAGTGCTGGGAGGACCAGGAAGCCCCTGGATGCTTGGCTCCTGCCCCAGCCTCTTGCTCAGTGGGGGCCTGGAGGGATCCCCGCATGCACGGGGGTCTCGCTGCAGCCCTTTTCATCCTTGCACCGCACCCCCCAGGACTCTGCAGCAGCCAGACAGGCCAGAGAGGGGACACTGGCTGTCCAAGGTCACTCGGCTGGTGATGGGGTTGGGATTTGAACCCTAGCTTCCTACCAATCACTGGGAAGTGACCCTTGAGTCAGAAGCGGGGAGACCCAAGCCTTCCCCAGTCTCACCTGTGATTGGGTTTAAGTCACTGTCCCTCTGGGCCTTGGCCTCTCAGGCCACCTAGCAGACCAGTCTTCCTAGGGGTGCTGGGACCCTGAGCTGGGGGCCTTATAAGGCCTGGGTGCTTAGCCCGTAACCCAACTCCACCCTGGACCCCTGGCCTCCAAGAGGCCTCCTACCACCCAAGTTATTTTGGACCAAGGAAGAGGCAGATGCCCGAAGGACAGAGGGGCTTAGGTTACCAGGAAGGGGTGGGGTGGTGCGGGCTGTCTCAGGTCTTCCCTGTGGCTGTCCCCACCCTGGGGACACTCCCCCTTCCCTGGGCAGCTCCTTAAGCACACTCAGCAGGACAAGCCACTATAACTCATGTCCTGGAGCAGGGTGACTGTCAGCAAACTTGCTGAAGGTCCCATTGCTGGGTCTAGGTGCCAGGCCCCAAACAGCAGAAAATGCAGTCCTGGCCAGGCAAGGTGGCACACGCCTGTGAACCCAGGGACTAGGGAGGCAGAGGCAGGAGGATCGTAAATTCAAGGCCAGCCTCTCCAACTGCCTCAAAATAAAAAGTAAAAAGATCTAGGGCTGTAGCTCAGTGATAGTGCACCCCTGGGACCAATCCCCAGTACAAAAAGGGAAAGAAAAAAAGGAAGGAGAAGGAGAGAAATAGAAAAAAAGTACTTGTTGCTCTGCAGAAAGTCCAGAGTGGGCGCCTACTGTGTGGGGGTGCAAGTGCAGTCCAGGAAGGCTTCCTGGAGGAGGTGACACCTGGCTGAGGTCTAGACCATTACATCGCGTGGGGAAGGCCTCCTAGCACTGGGCAGGACACGCACGAGGGCCTAGAGGGGGACATGGCCACGGTGGGGGATGAGGGAGCAGCGGGCAGCTCCAGTGTTTGGCAGAGCTGCAGAGGGTGACAAGGGCCAGATCTCTGGGTCCCTGCCAGCTGTGTTGAGGGGCCCAGGCTTTATTGAAGGTTGTCAGCAGGAGTGCGCACGCTGACAGAGGCCTCTGGCCATCCCGCCCAGAGCTGGGTGGGGGCTCTGGGGCTGACTGCTCAGGCAGGGGTCAGGAGTGAGGGCCAGTGGGGGCGCAGAGGTCAGTGGGGGAGGGGAGGGAGGGGACGAGTGGTGGCTAAGAAGGCCGCTGGGGACCCTGGGGCGGTGGGTGGCTGGCGGAGGGGCTGGCAGGTTCTGAGAGGGGAGGTGGGGAGGCGGGAGGGAGGGCAGGCAGGACGGGTGAGGCAGAGCCCCCCAGGGGGAGGGCAGCGCTTGGGGTTCTGCATAGGGGCCGGAGCGGGGGACCACCTCTCTGTGAAAACTGGAAAGGCCTGTGTCCCCCAGCTCCTGCAGCTTCCCCACCTGTAGCACCTGTGTCCTGGAGCGGGCCCTCGGTGCAGACCGTCCCTTCCAGGGCTGCCCTGAGCTCCAGCCTGCCCTCCACCTCCGGGGCCTGGGGAGGGGGCCTGGGGATGTCGCCAAGGTGCTGGGCAGACGCTGGCCCTGCCTTCATTCACGGGCAGCTCCACAGCCGCCCCACCCCTCGGCACAGCCGCCACCCTTGTCCTCCAGAGCGCCCGGGAGACGGGAGGGGCCTTCTGCCCTCCTGGGAGAGGTGAGGCAGGGGAGGCCAGGGAGGAGAGTGACTTTCTCCACGTCACCGCCTCCTGGGCCTCCCCTGCCCCAGCCCCTCTGCTTTCCAGTGGGGCGTGTTGGGGCCTGGCAGCCGCAGGGTGTGGCTGGGGGAGCTGAGTCAGGTGGGAGGACGCCCCTCACCCCCAGGGGTGCCTTGTCTTGCAGAGCGCTGACCCGGCTCCTGGGACGTCGGCAGGATGGAAGGTAGGCAGCTCCCCGGCTCTGCCCCTGCCTGGGCCTCAGTGTGCCCATCTGTTCAGGGGGTGTGCTCACCGAGACATTCTGGGGGGCAGTGGGAGGCAGCTGGGACCCTCCAGCGTCCTCCTCTGGCCCCTCCCGGAACGTGACAGCTCCAAGATTAATTTTAGAAGCCACAGCCCTCCTTGAGGCTCCGGGGCCCCAGCGCCCCTCCTACGCTGGTATTTATAGACTGAGTCCCTGCCTCTCTCTGGAGCGGCTGGTGCCGGGGAGGGGGCCCGCCCTGTGGAGAGGTGTGCCCCATGCCAGGCCTCGCCAGGGCCAGGAAGTTCCTGTCCCTCTCTGTCTCCGCTTCCCTGTCCCCGGAGGAGTGGGCCATGAGGAGGTTCTGGGCCCTCCTGGCTCCTGCGCGTTGGGACCTCGAGGGAGACGCGGACGGGCAGACGGCCCAGGTGGCCGCCCTGGCTCTGGCAGCACCACCCGTGCAGTCCCTGGCACTGGGCCTTGGCCCGGGCGGCCCTTAAAGGAGCTGGGCCAGCCGGGCGATCCCCTCCTCCCCTGGCTCCCAACGCCAGCCGCCACTGGGCTGCGGCCTCCTCCAGGCCGGTGCCCTTCACCAAGTCCTTCTTCTGCCAGCGCCCCCAGGGCCCAGCTCGTGGTGGGGAAGGCCCTGGAGACTGCCAGGGACAGAGGGCCAGCTCGGGCGGGCACTTCTTTCCTGAGGTCACACCCACCACAGAGCGGGACCTGCTGATCCTCTGTGTCCCCGAGGAGCCAGGGAGTCCAGGAGAGAGCCCCAGCCGGCCGCTGCCCGCCAGGCCTCCGTTCCCAGGCTCAGCGGGCGGCCACTGTGCCCAGGCCTTGGAACTGGAGCTCCCCTCCCCGGCTGGGCAGCAGCTCCTGGGCCACCGCAGCCCTCCTCCCCGGCAACCGTCTCCATGGCGACATATGTTGTGGTTGCCAACCGCACTTCAGTGCTGCCAGGGCAGGCGGGCCATGGGCTGGGCCAGGCCTAGGAGGGAAGGGATAGGGGACACCGCGGAAGGGGATCATGGGCTGCTGCACATCTGGGGACCCCGGGAGCAAGGGAACCAAGAAGGCCACAGATGACAGCCCCTGTAGTGCAGCCCCCCACGGTGAGGCACCCTGGGAGCTGGCCAGGCTGAGAGGTCTCTGCAGGCCCCCTGCCTGGTCCCTCTGCCCTGACCCCTCCCAGGCCCGGCTTTCACTCCCACCACCCGGGCTCCTTCTAAAGTCTCTTCTTTGGGGTTGCAAAGGTGCTTTTGGCTACTGCCAGGGACTGAGCTCTGCTCCTCCGTCTCTCCACAGAGAAGCTGAAGAAAAGCAAGATCATCTTCGTGGTGGGTGAGTTGCAGGCCGGCGGGTGACAGGGCAGCCAGGTGACAGGGCAGCCAGGGAGGGTCAGTGCGGGCTCTGGAGGGTCCTGGGCCTGCGAGTGTACTCTGGGCCTCTCCCTTGCTGGGGGACTCCGGGAGCCCCTGTCCCTCCCAGGGCCCCATTTCTCAGGGTTTCTGAATAGATGAGTGCTTGCAGGGGGGCCTGGCTCAGGGAAGGGCACCCAGTGTGAGAAGATTGTGCAGAAATATGGCTACACCCACCTCTCCACGGGGGATCTCCTGCGGGCCGAAGTCAGCTCGGGCTCCGCCAGGGGCAAGATGCTCTCGGAAATCATGGAGAAGGGGCAGCTGGTGCCACTGGTGAGTGGGCTCTGGGGGTCGGGCTGGGGAGGATGGTGGCCTTGCATGCATGGCAGCCAGAGAAGCCTGTGACACAGACGAGGTTGACCTCGACCCTGCCTGGCCCTGAGTCCCCATTGCCCTCTGCAGACAGTTCCTCCCGGAAGCTCTAAGACCCTGCAGGACCTGCCCTGCCCGCCCTCTCCGTCCCCAGGCTACCTTGGCATTTCTGTCCCCTCAAGGAGCCACGCTCCTTCCTGCCTGGAACATTCTTTCTCGCTCAACTTTCTGACCTCTGGCTCTCCAGATCTGAGCCAGGACCCCTGGTTCCAGGCTGCCTGGGCTGCCCCTTCTCTGCCCACAGCCTTACACAGTGGGGCCACAAGCCAACTGTGTCGTCCTCAGTGCCCAGACCAGGGGCTTCCGAGGGCAGGGAAGGTCTGATTTGTCCGGGGCCCAGGGCAGGACCTAGCTGGGAGGGGCTTGGGGGAGCCAGGACAGGCCAAGTCCTCCCAGTCGGGACGGCTTGCTGGGCCCTGCTGGAGGGAGGGAGGGCCTGGGAGAGGATGGGAGGCAGGCTCAGCTCACTTCCTCCCATGCTGTGCCCTCAGGAGACCGTGTTGGACATGCTCCGAGACGCCATGCTGGCCAAAGTCGATTCTTCCAAAGGCTTTCTGATCGACGGCTACCCCAGGGAGGTACAGCAGGGAGAAGAGTTTGAGCGGCGGGTAAGGCTCACGGTTGGCCTCGGGAGCCGTGCTACATGGGTGGGAGGGGGCTGCCGGGGTGAGGCCAGGAAGGCTTTCTGGAAATCTCGGAGGAGAGGTGTACAAGAAGGGGAGGTGCCCGGCTGGGAGTTCACGGACCTGGGCTCAGGTCCCAGCTCAGCTGCCGGAGACCTTGGGCCAGTCATTTCACCTCTCTGAACCTCAGTTTCCCCCTCTGCAAAGTGGGGGGACAAGTTACAGCCGCCTTGGGGGGAAGCATGAGGATGAGTATGGTGGCAGTGTGGGGCTTGGCACCCCGTAAACACAGTCCGAGGGGCAGGAACCTCACTGCAGAGCTAGACAGGCAAGGCCGTGCGGGAGGACAGGACCCTGGGGCGGGGCGAGCATGGCTGACGCAGGAGAGGACCATCGCCCTCGGCTACAGCCTCACGTGCCGGGAAGGGGCATCGGTCCCCTTTCAGGGGCTACAGGGAACCCTACTGGAAAGGGAGGCCTTGAGCGTGACAGCTCTGAGCTTCCCAGCAGAGGCCCCGTCCGTGAGGGACACTCACACAAGCACCCACGTGAACACAGGCACACAGGAGCAGCACACCATCATGCACACGTGTACACAGACGCACACACGTACACGAGGCCACAGGTGTGCACACGTAGCCTCACACATAAGACAAGGCCCATGGTGCACACAGGTGTTGGCGGAGTGCACATGTAAGCAGAGGGACACACACGTGAGCACACATGGGTCCATATGTGTGTGCTCTATTTAGACTTGTTCAGGGCCACACGGAAGCACATGGGGCTGCAAGTACTTAGGAGGGGAGATAGCAAGAGTAAGGAGAACTGGGGGTCCCAGTGGGTGGGGCAGGACCAGACCCCCAGCCCCACTCCCCGTCTCCGTGGGCCTCATCTAGGGCAGGAGACTATATTTCTTGACTTCTAAGTGTCTGCAAGACCTCAAGAAAACGTCTGCCCTGGCTGGGCACAACGGCACATGCCTGAGTCCGAGAAACTAAGAAGGCTGAGGGAGGAGGATCGCAAGTTGGAGGCTAGCCTCAGCAATTTAGCAAGACCCTGGCAATTAGCAAGACTCTGTCTCAAAATAAAAAGGTCAGGGGATGAGCTGGCTGGGTGGTGCATGCCTGTAATCCCAGCAGTTCAGGAGACTGAGGCTGGAGGATCAGCAACTTAGTGAGGTCCTAAGCAACTTAGTGAGACCGTCTCAAAAAAAAAAAAAAAAAAAAGTCTGGGGATGTGGCCCAGTGATTAAGTGCCCCTGGGTTCAGTCCCTGGACCAAAAAGGAAGAAAGAAAATGCCTGTGCCCCTGGCCTCAGTTTCCCTATCTGTGAAATTGGGGTTGGTTGGGCTTCCTTTGGGGTGGGATGGTCAGATGCCAGGCAACCCTGAGGGACATGCTGTCTTGGCCACATACATCAGCTGTGTGAGGTCAGCTGTGACTCTCAGGGCCACATGTGGAGAATGGGGTTAATGACACCAGGCATGGTGGTTCACACTTCTAATCCCAGCCACTTGGGAGGCTGGGGCAGGAGGATTACAGTTCCAAGCTAGCCCCAGAAATTTAGTGATATCCAGTCTCAAATTATAAAAGCGCTGGGGATGTAGCTCAGAGGCAAAGCGCCCTGGATTCAATTCCAGTATCAAAGGAAAAGGAAAGGAGAGAAAATGGGTTAATCAAAGTCCTCTCCCTGCTGTGGACACTCCTGAGAGTGACAGGTCCTGTGGTGGCCTCCAGGAATCTGGGCAGCTGCTATTCTCAGCTCTGGACACCAGGGGGCGCCAGGCTCCGCGGAGGGAGGAAGGGTAGGCCCTGAGGCTTGATGACTGTGGGGCCCCAGAGCCCAGGGCTTTCCTGGGGTTGGGCAGTGGCCCAGCACCCACTCCCCTAGCTGAACGCCACTGTCCTGGAGGGGAGACAGGCCTCCCAGCGGGACACCCTGCCCAGGGGCCTCACTGCCCTCGGGGATGCGCTGCCTCTGTCCTGGTCATATAGACTGCCGTGTGGCCCTGTGGCTCTGGAAGCCAGAGACAGAGCCTGGGCCCCGGAGCTCAGCAGTGATGGATGGCGGGCGGGCGTGGCCTGGGCTGGGCTCAGCTTTGGGCCATTCGTGGTCTTCTGTAAGGTAGAAGCTGTGGGTTGTCCCAGGCCGGGGTGCAGGGGGCAAAGGCAGCTGAGCGGATGCTGCCAACCCTCAACCCCAGGAGACAGAGGGGTGTGACTGCCAGGAAAGTGAGGCTCAGAGAGGGCAAGCAGCCCCCCCCAGGGCACACAGCTGGGCGGAGGGGAGCCTGGGGGACGTCCAGTCAGTCTGATACTGAAGGTCAGACTTGCCAAGACAGTGTCACTTGTGATGGGGGCAGAGAGACTAGAAGGGGGGACGTCCTGACCCAGCCCAGAGGTTTCGTAACCACGAAGCCCCTCTTGGATACCCCAGCAGACCACTGTAGGTCTCCTTCCTCCCTCAGGGCATCCCAGGCTGCTCCGCCAGGCCTGGGGACATGGTGGTGCCTGGGAGGCAGGATCTCTACTCTGAGGAATCATGTTCAGGGAGGGAGGGGCCGCCATTTCTTTTCTTTTTTTTTTCTTTTTTTTTTTGGGGGGGGTCGGTACCAGGGATTGAACTCAGAGCACTTGACCCTGAGCCACACCCCACACACCTCAGGGTCTCACTGAGGTGCTTTGGGTCTTGCTAAATTGCTGAGGCTGGCTTTGGACTCGCTGTCCTCCGGCCTCAGCCTCCTGAGCTGCTGCGTGCACCACTGCGCCCAGCGAGAGGCTGCCACTTCTGACTTCAGTGTGGAGGCCACCTGGGCAGGGGCCTGTGGAGGGGCAGAGCTGCAAGGCCTTGCTCCCTCCTGCCCCGCCAGGTCATCCCCTTGGGGACAACTATCCCCGTGCCAGTGCTCAGAGTGGTGTGCTCAGAGGCCGGGGACCCCGCTGCCCTCCCCCTCCTTCTCCCTTCCCCCCTATCGAGCCCTTATCCAGCCAGAGGGTGGGATCAGACGCCTCCCTGCGCCCGGGGAATCCAGCCTCATGGGGAGAGGGGCACTGGATAAATGACCAGAGGACAAAATAAGAGGGCCATGTCCCGGGGACTGGGGCACTGGGTGCACTGGAGGGGTGATTAGTGAGGACTGTGCAGACAGGGCAGGCAGGCGTGGCCCCGCAGGTCCTCTGGGTTTGGTCAGAAGAGGACTTTGGGCTTTGTCCTGAGGTGGAAGAGGTCTGAGTAAGGGAGTGGCGGGAGGCTTGGTTTCAGGAAGGTCCCCCAGGCTGCTTTGGGGACTGAAGGTTTCGTGTGTGAGGCCCCAAAGGTGGGGCAGTGGGGAGGGGGAGCTGGCCCCGGGTGGCAGGAGCAGGGTCCCTGTGACGTGGTGGCCGCTTGCAGATCGGACAGCCCACGCTGCTGCTGTATGTGGACGCAGGCCCCGAGACCATGACCCAGAGGCTCCTGAAGCGCGGGGAGACCAGCGGGCGCGTGGACGACAACGAGGAGACCATCAAGAAGCGGCTGGAGACCTACTACAAGGCCACCGAGCCTGTCATCGCCCTCTATGAGAAGCGAGGCATCGTCCGCAAGGTGGGGCAGGAATGGCCTGCGCCGTCGTCCCCGCCTCTCCGCCCCGCCTGCTGGCCTCGTGGCCACGTGGCCGGCCTCTGCTGTCTCCCTCAAGGCCGTCTCCCCGCAGGTCAATGCTGAGGGCTCCGTGGACAGCGTCTTCTCCCAGATCTGCTCCCACCTGGACGCCCTGAAGTAGCCCCACAGCCTCCCCAGCCCGGAGCCTCCCGCGACTGGAGGCCGCGGTTCAGCCTGGGCCTCGCCCTGCTCGGCTGCCAGACGTGGGGACCCTGGATCCCGTCCGTGGACAGCTGAGCACTAAAGGAACTTCGAGGGCGTCTGGGTTTTATTCCTCTTTCTTTGCTTCCAGTTGGAGTTGCTTCGTCACCCGCCCGGCCTCGAGCCCCTGGCCCTCCCTCTCCTGCTGAGCCTCTGGCTCCCCTTTTGCCCCTGTCCTCCTCCTCCAGCCCTGGCGGGAGGCCCAGGGCCCTGCCCCAGGCGGGGTGTGCCCAGCCCAGGCTGCACCAGGCAGTGGAGAGGCTGGGGACCTTGCTCTCGGGGTCTCGGTTCTGGCCTGGCCTCCTCTGTGTGTCCTCGCCCTGCCCCTGCCTCTCTGAGTGTTTTCTGTGCAGGCCTCGGCCGGGGCCGGGGCCGGGCTGCAGCAAGCCGAGAGGCTGCGGATGGTGGGACCGGGCCCAGGCCTCCTTGGTCCTGAAGCTCCGAGGGCCAGGGAGGGAGCCGGGGCCAGGTCCCCTGCCCAACACCAGCCGCTCTGCTCGAGCCATTTCTGAATGTAAAGGAGGTTGTGCCTCCCCCTGCCCCGCAGGGTCAGTGAGGGGTGACAGTGACCAGCCTCTGCAGCCGGAGCCAGAGCAGCCTGGCTGGAAGGGCGCAGGCCCAAGCCAGGCTGGGGACAGCCGGGTCCCCTGAGAACCAGCTTTCTCCCCCGTCCGCTCCTCCTTTGGCCTCATCAGCGAGAAAGGCTCAATCTGGTGCTTACCTGTCTGCGACACCTGTCCCCGCCCCCGGGGCTGCTCGGAAGCCCAGGGAACGGATGGCCACCCTGGCCTGGAGGACACCCCTCGGGCTGATTGTGCTCAGTTGTGTCCCTGTGTGTGTGCAACTGGCCCCGCTTCTCCCTGACTTCGGTTATTTAAACTTTCCTTTAAAATAAACATATTTAAGTTACACAGACTCAGTGTGTTGACGGGACTCGGTGGCGCTCCTGACGGGGCCGGCTTCGGGGGAAGGCCGCCGTGGAACGGCCAGCCTAGGACACAGGCCACTCGCCACCTCCGGCTGCTCGCAGTCTGTCCCACCGAGGGCACACACTCCTCCTGGGAACCAGTGTCGTGTGAGGTCAGTGCAGGGGGGGGACAGCCCCCCGGGGGTCCCACCACCACCTTGTGTCTTGGCCCTGACTTTGTCAGCACAAGCGAGGCCTAGTTTATGAAGAGCTGACCTGACCCGGTGACCCAGCCAGGCAGCCCACGACCCCTCCACTCACTTAGACCGCCACGGGGTCCTCGGTACCGGAGGGGGGTGGGCACCGAGGTCCACCGCGTCAGGTCCCCCCCATTGAACGGGGCGGTGCTCACACAGAGCCAAGGCACATCCTCTGGTGGACTTCATTCTATTTGTTTACTCTTTGGTACGGGAGATTGAACCCAGGCGCGCTTAACCACTGAGCCACATCCCCAGCCCTTTTTTTTTTTTTCTTTTTTAAATAAATTTTTTAGTTGTAGAGACATTCAATACCTTTATTTGAACGTGGTGCTGAGGATGGAACCCAGTGCCTCACACATGCCAGGCAAGCGCTCTGCCACCGGGCCACACCCCAGCCCCCTTTTGTTTTTTATTTAGAGACGGGGTCTCCCTAAGTTGCTGAGGCCCTTGATAAGTTGCTGAGGCTGGCCTTGAACTTTTGATCCTCCTGCCTCAGCCTCCCGTGTTGCCTCTAGATGACTCGTGACACCCAGGACAGCGCAAGGGCCTCATAAACGGCTGAACGGCGTTGTGTCCGGATGAAGCACGGAGGAAAAGAAGTCTGTCCGTGTTTAGCAAGGATCTGATTTTTTTTCCCAAATGCTTTCCATTCCCAATTGGTTGAGTCCATGGACAAAGAACCTGTGCTGGCGGGGCTGAATTATCCTCTGTCATCTGTCTATCAATCCTCTCCTAGATATGAATCCAGATCTTCTCTTTGCTGAGAACTTCAGTCTACAGTTAAAACCGCAGTCACCTGCCCCCCAACCCTGTCCTCACCCCCACTGGCCCCCGTGAGAGCCCGGGGCGTGCGTATCCCTCAGCTGGCAAACATTCTGGAGCCCCTACCACGCTGGTCACAGAGGCTCATAAGCCCCCAGGCTGCTGCCATGCGGCTCCCAGAGCACAGGAAACCCACCGCACAGGATCCCCTGCTGCGACTCAACCAGACCAGAGTCAGAGGGACCCAGCAGCAGGGGATCCCTTGAGCTGCAGCTCTGGGGCCTTGAAGGTAGCGGCAGTTCAATATGGGACAGAGAGCACAGAAAGACAGCGGGACAGTCCTGCTGACCTAGCAGTGGAGAAGTCCTGTTGGTGGGCGAGGGTTAAGGCTCAGGGGGCCTGGAATGCCAGTGAGTGGGCCATGCGACAGCAGGAGACAAACCAGGCGTGTTGTAGGGTGCAGACCTGCAAGGACTTGAATGCTGACTTTTCTCCTAAGGGCAATGGGAGTCTCAGAAAGAGGAGGTTTTAGCCGAACAAGTGGTGCGCACCTGGAATCCCAGCTACTTGGGAGGCTGAGGCAGGAGGATCACAAGTTGGAGGCCAGCCTCAGAAAGTTAGCAGACACAGTCTCAAAAATAGATACATTAATTAATTAAATTAAAAGGACTGGGGGACATAGCTCTGTGGCAGAACACCCCTAAATAATCAGAAAATAAAGAGGGCTGGGGTGCAGCTCAGTGGTAGAGCATGCATCCAGCTTACACAGGGCTCTGGTTTGATTCCAGCACCACACACACACACACACACACACACACAAAAGTGATTTATGTTTTTGTTTGTTATTTTAACAAAGACATCAAACAAACTGAGAAAAAAAAATGGAATGAATATCCACGAAACCATCACCAACGCTTGGCGAGCGGCACCTCCCCTCTCTTCCTTGTTCTACTTTTGCCAAACGGTTGTACGTCCCTCCTGCAATGTGGCTTCAGGATGCCTCTCTGAAGAATAGGAGCCTTCCCTGAATCACCATGGACGGCTGGGTCAGCGCGGTCACTGTGGTCACCCGGGCTTAGTCCTGGTGCAATTTTTTCCAGTTTCCCAAACGGTGTCTGTGGCTGGTTTGTTGAAACCAGGACCATTTAGTGACACTGGGCAAATCTCAATCAACTCTCTCTCTCTCTCTCTCTCTCTCTCTCTCTCTCTCTCTCTCTCTCTCTCTCGATGCTGCAGGTGGAATCCGGGGCCTTCCACATCCTAGAAAGATGCTCGACCACCAAGCCTCCTCTCCAGTCCTTTTTTAAATTTGGTTCTGAGTCAGGGTCTTGCTGTCTGTCCAGGCTGACCTTGAACACGAGACCCTCCTGCCTGGGCCTTTCAAAGGGTGACCCTCTCCTGTAATCTGGGACAGCAGGGAAGGGACCAGTTGCCTTATGACAAGTCCTCTTCCAGCTTGTCTCGGGCTCTGTCCTGGGGCCCTTTAACTTGCTCCTCGTCCTTGTCCTCCCTGGGAGCGGGCGGGAGTTGCAGAGGCTGTGCAGGTTCAGGGTAAGCCTAAGGGACAAGGGGGACTGGGGGTTTGAAGCAGGCGGGAGGCCCGTGGGCAGCTCGTGGGGTCTTCCTGGGAGCTGTTTGGGCTGCGCTGGGGGCTGGACGGGGGGCTGCACCATGGCCACACCCCCAGCCCCTTTTAGCTTTCACTTGGAGATAGGATCTCCCCGACCCGCTGAGACTGGCCTGGAACCTCAGCCTCAGGCGGGGGCTGACTGGGCGGGTCTGGGAGGGATGGTGGCGCCCAGCCGCGGGTCCTCAGGCCACAGCAGCTGCTCTGCGGGGGCTCAGGAAGACAGTGTCACGAGGGAGGACCAGAAGGGCAGGGAAGCAGGAGGAGGGTCCTTCCTGGGGTCGGCGGTGCACCCCGCGGACTGAGGTGGGCGTGGCAGGTATGGGTCCAGAGGCCCTTAATGAAGTCACTCTTCTGGTTTCCAGGGACACTTCTGGCGTGGCTTGTTCCAAGGTGCGGGGACATTCTAAGAAGGGGAGGAACTGATGCCTCTGTGACGGGGAGTGTCGGCCAGGGCGTGCTCCTGGGCAGGGCTTGCTGGGGTGGTGGCCTTAGATGCCCCCCGGACTGCACCTCCATGTCTTGGCCTCTGGGGTCCCCAGGGCCGCGGCCGGAGGCACTGAAGTGGGAGAGGAAGGAAGCTGGGAGCAGAGGAGGCCAAGGCTGTCGCCTCCCAGCCGCAAGAGGGGCCTCGGGTAAACAGGAAGGCCTGGCGGCTCCACGCTGGGGGGGCTCTGGAAGGGTGGGGGCCGGGAGCCCGACTGGACTTGTGCGGCCTCTGAGCACAGGCTTCCTCTCTGGGGAAGGGGGCCCAGAGAGGTTGAACGGCTGGCCCAGGTCACACAGCGGGCTGGACCCGTGCTTGCCTTGCTGGCTCTGGCTTCCTTCCTGGGGGCCAGGTGTCCTACCTGTGTGGCCCCGTGACTCACCCAGTGTCAGCCCCTCTCGAGCCTCAGTTTCCCTTTCCATGAACTCAGAGTCCTTACAACTCAGGGGTTCTGGAACCCTGGCCCAGTGGACCCTCTGCCTCCTAGATGGGGCCGGGTCATTAGGAGGGCCACCATTGCCCAGGGCTTGGAGGCAGCAGGTCCCTAGGCCTCTTCCTTGGGGAAGACCACCTGGGGGGCTCTGCTCTTCCAGCACAGAGCAGAGACAGGGGGACCCCTGGGATCAGCCTGGATTCTTGGAGAGACACTCCCCTTCTTCAGAGACCCCGTGCCTGGGCCCAGAATGCCACCTCCCATGCCCCGGGAACTCGGGGTCATCACCTAGGAAACCTGGGCTGTCAGCCAGCATCGTTTATTCCACAAGCATCTACTGAGCACCTGCCAAGGGCCAGGTACCTCTCCAAGTGAGGGATCCTTCCTCTATGACCCTTCTGTTGTAGAAGAGAAGACACACAGAACGTCCGCCTGTCAGCTGGTGATAGGCCACCCAGAGCTGCTAGCAGGAGGAGAGGCCATTTTAAATGGTCTGGGAAGGTCTCTCTGACCTTGAGATGTTTGATCAGAGCAAGCCCCACAGCTACAGAGTGTTCAGGGAGTAAAGCAGCACATGCAAAGGCCCTGAGGTGGGCAAATGCTTGGCATCTCCAGGGAACAGCCATGGGCCAATGTGGCTGGAGCGGGGTGAGCCAGGGGGAGAAGAGCAGGTGAATTTGAAGAGGGGCAGGGGAGCTCATTGGCCATTTGAGAACTCACTCTGGCTTTTACTCTGAGTGAGTTGCCAGTGGAGGGCAACTGGGCAGAGTGGGGTGGAACCTGACTTGGCTGGAGCAGGTTCCCTCGGCAGAATGGAGAAATGTCGGGGCAAGGGAAGGGGCAGGCAGAGCTTGGTAAGGAGACGATGACAACATTCCCAGAGGACAGTGGCCAGGGGGGACAAGAAGCTGCCAGGGTCTGCAAACCTGGAAACCTGGGAACTTGAGGGAGCATCTGCGGGGGGG